TAATGATGATAATTAACGTAATGTTAAATATTCACGATGTACATTTGAAAAAAATTCATAAGTAACAACAATAATTATAATTGTCAGGGTAATAATAATGATGATGATGATGATGATAATAATTATAATAATAATAATAATAAAAAAATTAGAGCCGCGTCAATGTGGAAAAATGGGCGTCGACGATATTTCGATATATCGAACCGGTCCTAAGCTCCTCCGTTAAAGCAATTCGGCGATTAAACTCACACGCAAGTCTCAAAGGTTAAATTCATTTGACGATGAGCTAACGTAGAGTGAAAAAAAAAAAAATTTTTTTTTTTTATTTTATTTTTTTCATGTTTTATTTAAAAAATTTTATTTTATTTTATTTATATCATTATTATTTTTCTTCTGCTTTTGCTTTTCGCTTTTTCTTCTGCTACTGCTTCTTCTTATAATAACATGAAAAATTACATTTAATCATTTGAATTCTTTAACGTAGTACCAAAAGTCAAGTAACAAAAAAAAAAATTGTATTTATGAGAAAATATGTCGGAAAAATGATAATTATGATTAAGAGTGAAAGGAAAGAACAACAACAACAACAACAACCATCATAAATAAATGGGAATAAAAGGAATAAAAAAGAAAAAAAAAAAAAGGAAAAAAAGGAAAGAAAAAAAAAAGGCATTCAATTTTGTCATACGAACAACTTCCATTGATTTTTTTCCTTTTTTTTTTTCTTTTTTTTTTTTTTTTTTTTTGGAACTAAAAATATTTTCATCCTTTTCTTATTTTCAATTTTCTTTTTTTTTTTTTTCTTTTTTTTTTTTTTTTTGAGCTTTTCTTTCGCGCAAGTGAAAGTTTTTAATTTTTTTTTTCATTGATTTTAGAATCTTTTTTTTTTTCTCTCTTCAAATTTTTTTTTTTTATTAATAATAATAATAATAATAAATTACATCTCTCTTGTATCATCATCATCATCATTATCATTATCATTATCATTATCATTCAAAGTATTATAAAAAAAACCATAAAAAATTAATTAATTAAAAAAAAAAAATTATTTATTTATTTTTTTTTTTTTCAGTATTATATAAATCTCAGTTTTCAATAGTTTTCTCAGTTTTTTTTTTTTTTTTTAAAGATAATAATAATAATAATTAAATTGTTCAGAACAGGCACGTCGTAGTATCTCTATCCTTTTTCAGGTATTCATAATGAAATGCCTTTTTTTTTTATAGAGAATTGATAGAAAATATATTACATTGAATTAATTTTAATTTATAAAATGGAAAATTTTTTTTGAAAGACTTCCGGGTAAACCGGAAGTCTTGGACGTGTGCAAACAATATGTCGACTCCGATGATGATCGATGATGACCGGATATGAGTCAATCATTTTCAATTTTTCCTTTTTTTTTTTTTTATTGTAAATTATTTGATTAATTTTATGTTTTTTTT